ACATCCACGAACACCCAAAGAACACCCACGAACATCCACGAACACCCAAAGAACACCCACGAACATCCACGAACACCCAAAGAACACCCACGAACATCCACGAACACCCAAAGAACACCCACGAACATCCACGAACACCCAAAGAACACCCACGAACATCCACGAACACCCAAAGAACACCCACGAACACAAAGAAGAAAGGGTAAGAACACCCGAAAAAGTGAGAGAAAATTCATCTCCAGGTTATTCTGGGCTGAGAGCGTGGTGTGGAGATGGGGGTGAGGGTGAGGTACTGGTAGGCTCACCCACATCTCACCCTCAGCCCAGAATAATCTGGAGATGAATTTGGTATACTTTTTTGGGTGTTTTTACCTTTTCTTCTTTGTGTTCGTGGGTGTTCATTCAAAATGTATGCTTAAAAAGCGAAACTATAAAAGAATTTTTGGATGTTCGTTAGGGATTGCTATACTCAGCTCGACGAGCTCTATCGATTGGTTAACTCAGATTTTAATTTGGGGGTGTTCATGGGTGTTCGTGGGCGTTTGCGTCTTTCAACAATATCCGGAGGGATGGGATCGGTTCGTGTTTTTCTGCAACCGAACCAAACCAATTTACGGAGAACTCAAACCGAACCGGTTCCATCTCTGTTCGATACTGTACATTTATATATTTGTCTCAATAATTATAAGAGATCACAATTTGATGATAGAATACTAGCGAAGAGTTTTTTTTCATTTATTTCTTATCTCAAATATTTCTTGTCAACTTAGTCATTAAAAAAAAGAAAGATAAATGAAAAATGTATTTTTTTTTCTATAAGAAAATTAAACTTTATTTTTCAAAAATTTGATAATATAAAAAAATTTTGTATTTTAAATTTATAAATAAAACATAATAATGAAGTTAAATTTTAATTACGAATAACCATTTTGACAAAAACTTTCACATGAATCATTTTGTGATTCATCATTGGATGAATTATTTACATGTGGATTTTCATTGTTCACACAATTACTGCTCACCTCGGATCGTTTTTTGTTCACTTTTCGTTCTTTAGCACGACGATTTTGAAACCAAATTTTGATCTGCAAAAAAAACATGTGTATAATATTCTATTAATAATATCAAAAAAGATAGAATGAATCAATTTATATCCTAATAAAGTCTATCTTGTTTATATGTACATACTTGTCGTTCACTTAAACTCAAAGCTTGTGCCAAAGTTGTTTTTCTTGGTATTGTAATATATTTTGCAATAACAAATTCATTTTCAAGTTCAAAACGTTGATGTTCACTATAGACTACACGATATTTATCTCTTGTACGAGTTTTACCTAAATACGTAAATAAAATAAAATTTTATCGATAAGCGTGCTCTTCTCTTCTATATTTTGCCACTCACATAAACTCTCTCAGACTATAAAACAATATTTCTTCTTATAAAACTTTATAACTATATGTATAAAGTAAACGTACAGTTTGCAATAAACTATATATTTATATATATTCATTTTTTGTTGTTGTTACTCGATAAATCTGTACTCTTTTTTTTCTTGTTCTTTTTTTCTCCTCCCTTTATACAATATTCATGACAAATTAGTTGGTCATATATTTTTTGAGTCATTGTCATTAATTCGACAAAAGTATCCAACATAAAATTTTACAATGATCATCCTAGTTTACAAGCACTAAAAAAAAGAGAAGAAGGACTAAAGGGAAATTATGAAAGCAACTATATTTTGCTCGTTATATGTACGATGCTATAAAGTTTTATAGACTTTCTAATGATATATATAAATAAAGAGGGAGAGAAATGCATGTAGATCTACAATTTGAAAAAAAAAGAAATTAGTGAACAGTCAACTTCTATTCTTATGCCATAAGTTTGATTCAGAGGTAAGTTCTATGTTTTATCAGACTATTTTAAATATGATTAGATAAAACATATCGCGGTAGTTGGTTTTCTCTAGCACAAGTGACAATAAATAAATTTTGATAGTTTTCTAATTTGTGAAATTTTTTTGTAGAAAAATTGAACTCGATTAACAATTGAAAACAAGAAAGTATACAAAATGTTCTTGACTATTTGTTTGTGCTAATCAATGAGCATACACAATTTCAGATTTATAGCTTAAATATTTTTAACAGTATTGCAGTTTATTAGATTTTTTTTATTAGCAAAAAAAATTATCACGTAAATGATCAGTAGAAAATTTAGATAAAAAAACCTAGCATTTTTCTTATTCTAGCCGATTTTGAGAAAACGACATTAAAATTATTTCGACGTAAGAAAATATATGAAATTGTGCAAAGATTATTTCGGCGTCTGTATGAACAAAAAAACGAAGTACATTCATGGCTTTTTCCTCTGATCTGAGTTGCATAGCAAAGTACCATTATTTGAATTCTCTTTTTTGCCAATTGGAATCTGTTACAAATGATGAAAAAAAATTTACTAAAATATTTTTCTTAGCTACTTTTTACTTTACAAGTCTTTTTCAAACTTTCGCTTTTCTACTTCAGTTCAATTTAGTGGATATCGTCTTTTTCCTGTATATCAATAAATGTTGACATATAAAATACAACAGTTTACAATCTATTCGTAAAGATTAATTAAAGTTATAAAACCTTTCCGCCTTATATCGAAGATTTTTATGATACTCATTTTATTCTACCTAAGGAGAAGAAAAAAAAATTTGATTGTAAATGTGTATCTAATAGAAATGGCGATAGAACAAAAAATAGATTTTCTCAATAAAATCCGAGACTTTCTTTCTCTATTTGAACAGAATTGTTCCCAGATTTTGTGACCATTTTTTGTAATGTGTTATCTCAAATGTTGACTGATTTGTTTACAAATCTGACAAAAAATATGAAAAAGAATTTGAATATGGTTAGGTTCTAGTCTCAAATACTTTTGACTATTCATTCTATTCTCACATATTAGATTATTCATTCCATCGATCGACACTATTTGATTGTTATTTACACTACATACGGAATGATTATTGACATAACATCTCTTCATTTTTATTTCTATACAATATTAATGATATTTCATTTTGATGAAAATTAAACTTCGAAGAAGAATGATATATTTTTTAACACCAATGTGACAACATGTGTACTTATTTGAATATTCAATATAAATGACCTTTTACTGATATGATACACTCAAGTTTTTAAGGTCAATTGATGTAAAATTAATAAATAAATAAGACGTTTGATAATTGAAAAAAAATTAACCCGCACTATTACTCTTACCATTTGGGGCATGCTGTTTCGTTGGGTTATGTGATTTTAGCCACTCAAATTGTTGTTTTTGTTGACGTCGTGGTGGCAAGGATTGTTGTGGTGGAATACATAGAACATTTGTGTAAACATCGCCATTTGATGAGTCAAGATTTGTTGTTAATAATTGTTCATTTTTACAAATATTTTGTAAACCTTGTGGGGGTAGATGAAATTGATCTGCTGTTGGATGTGGATAGGAGGCGGATGTTGTGAGTCGAGGATCGTATTCAATTTCAAATTTTATTGGTGGATGTTGGTGTTCACCATAAATATTGTTTGGATAGGAACAAGATGGTGCTGGGTATTGACGAAATGAGGGTGTAGTCATATGATGATATTCTCCACCATTTAGGCCATTCCAATTTGGATTTAGCTCTAGTTCATTGATTGATGAACGATGAGCATTGGGAGGATACAAATGTTGATGTAGATGTGTATGATGGTGAAGAGCGGATATATTTGCTGTATTTATTTGAGATAAATGTGTATTATTTAACTTTTCTGCTGTACATGGCGATGGCGTACGAATGATCTGATGTGGTCTTTGATCAGTCGATGTCGTATTTGAAGTCGATGTGGTTGATGGTATAAGATCGGATGATGTCAAAGAAGAATTCGATAATAAATTGTATGTGGCCCAATGGTTATTATTGTTCAAATGTGAATAATCAAATGATTCGAGTTTTGACATGCTTTCATTTGAAATATTGTACGTGGACGAAGAAGAGTAAGGATTATAATTATCCATTGTACCTAATAATGGTTGTTGAAATACGGGTCCCATACGATATGGTATCATCATTTCAATCTAAAACATTCAGAAAATGATGATAGTTTAAAAACTTAGGACAATTTCAATTGAAAAGGCATTCACTAATCTCGGAAAAACTTATGAGATAAAAAAGAGTAAAAAATCTATTTCTTCTTTAGGATTAATAGTTCTTGATATTACATAGTGTTGCGAAGGATAATGGAACCTGAATTGTTACATTGCAAAGCGGAATATCGCTGTATTATGTCTAATACTCTATTTGATGACTATAAATGATTGAGTTAGCTAAAGTTATCGATCTATAAGATTTTGTTCCGAAGAAACACACTGAAGTTTTAAGAAAACATTGACACTAATTACATCAGAAGGGGAAAACTAGCTTGCTATTGTCATGCGATTGTTCACATTCACATACGTTCTTTCAGTTAAACCAATAGGGTTTTCGGTCTAACTTTTAAAAGGAGAAGAAGAAAAATAATCACAGAAAATGTTTGAAATAGGATAAAACTAGTGATGCGTTACGTATACGTTTTTGTTTATTGTTCATCTGTTTAATGATGATACGGTCTAACAGTTTGGTACTCATTTGGGAAATTAGTTCCCTCTTTTACCTGTCAATGTAATTTTATTTAGTTTTTATTACTTTTTCTTTAGTGATTATGCAATAATAAACAAAAACAGACGATGGTGATGATTCTGATTTAGAAATAATATGTGAATAAAATCATCGTGATCATATGTGAGAATGCCAGTCGATGTTATAATTAAAATAACGTGGCAATAAAAAATTAAATTACTTTAGAAAATAATATATATGTTATGGTATCATAAAAAAAATGGGATAAACTTGAAAAAGTCTTCAATTAATGATGATTATATGAATATGTGATTTAAACAAATTCTTTTTTTTATTCTGTTTGAAGTTTCGAAAAAAAAAGAACAGAAAAGAAAAGAAAAGAAAAGAAATATCAAACCAATCAAATTTTACGCGAACAAATATGATTGGTCAGTTATGGCAAGGAAACGAATTAATGATTTGTCGATGTTTTCGTTTCTAACATAAATAGATTTATGGCGAAAAAAAAGCACTAAAAATTAAATGGTAAATCCCAAAAATAGTACAAGAACAGAATAAAGAAGATTTTTCAATTTCATTGTTAGGGAAAAAAATGGTAGATTTTGTACTAAGTTAATGTACTCTTTTTCATATCGATGGTATTTTTTATAATAATCAGTGGCAGTTCGACCGGGGGGATGGGGGGTTACCCCCCATACTTTTTTAAAAAATATGAACGATTCACTCTCAAATTTGGGAAACGATAAGAACGATTTACTCTCATTTCGGAGAAACTCGGAGAGTGATTTACTCCGATTTTGAACAAAATCAAGAACGGTTTACTCGTAACTTGAGAAAAGATAAGAACGATTTAATCCGAATTTTGAAGAAACCTGAAGGATGATTTACTCCGATTTTGATTTTTTCGAATACTAAAATGCTGCTTTCTCCGAAAACTGATATTAAATGTATTCTTTGAAGAAGCTTTCTTAACCGACTTAGATGACTTATTTCTATTTTTTTCCATCTACGTCTGAGAAAATTACAGTGAATGTAACGTTTAGGCAAACTTAATGAGTGATGTTCCTCAATTATTTATACTTTACCATGAGCTCGGAGAATCAGGGGCTTATTTTTGGAGACCTAACTCCCATTTTTGGATTTACCCCCCAACCTCTTCGCGCCTTCACTAATAATAATAAGGCGCCACCCTTTTATAATCGTGTGAAAAGTATGAGGAAATATGTCCTTGACGATCTTTGTTTTACGGCCATTTCCAGTCTAATTCATAGATTGGACCATCTGCCGAAAATCGTCTGAGAAAGATGACCGTCAGGCAAAAAATTTAAAACAATTGTAATACACAGTTCGAGGAGGAGTGACGAGCTTCTTTCGAATATATATTTTGTCATTTCTCATTTGAAATGAAAAAAAAGGGTTTCACCTGATCCACCTAGATTTCATTTCAGATTTATGCAAAATTCTAAGGCAGTTTGCAGCTTAGCTAAACTATAGGCTTCCATTGGATAGAAGAGTTGTTTTCTAGCCAATCTTGTTACTGTTGAAAATAATTTTTTCTGTTCGAGTTTAAGTTCATCAACAATCACGAAACCTTTTTTGTTAGTAAGTTGTCCAGAAAGTAGCTGGAATTCAGGTTATTTAAATAATTTTCGATAAGAATATTTAATTGAATATTTCTGTTAATATCGAAATTTTTAGCGGATTTTGGAGTTTAGTATTTCCCATTGTTCTAACAGAGATAAAAGGAAACGATAGGTAGGATACCAAACTTTATAATTCTTTAATATAAAACTGAAAAACGTTTCGATTTATTGCTGATGTTCACTTGTCTGCCTCACTGTGCCGGACACTTTAGTCCTTATTTATTAGACAAAAGATATCGAAATGAGAATCGTACACCAATAAGAACTAAAAACGAAAATCGAAGTATGCTCCCGCCTAAATGGATACGTATTTCAGTCTTAATTTGATCTATAAATATAAAACAGGTACAAAATCCCGAGATCCTACATAATGGTGGCGCCAGGGGTGGGCTGAGCCCACCCGAAAGGAAGTTAAGCCCACCCTGAAAATTTTTTTCAGCGCTGAAACTTTTTCAGTGTTCCCAAAATGGATGGGCTAAGCCCACCCCAGAGCAAAATTCTGGCGCCGCCACTAATCCCGCACTTGATGTTTCATTTCGAAGAAACATAAAATTATAACCTTTACCTTTCTCACCATATTTTATTTCTTGATTCAAAAAAATTTGAGCTGAATTATATAGAGGAGTCAAACAAAAAGGTTGAACAGAGACAACATAAATAGTGGTATCCGAAATCTGTTCACCATGCTCTCTTCTACATTCTATCTCAGAAGTTTATATCTTTTCCTCTTTTTTCATGAAAAAAAATTAATATTAAAGATCAGACGACTGGAAGTACTATAAATGCTTTCTACGAACGAGTTTTCAGCTAGTTATTACAAGAGCTGTCTAAATGCTGTGCATGCTCGCTTTTTCGTGAATAAAGTTTAGTTATAATTCCTTTTACTTCTTTTTATGCATCCTACGTAAGTAAAGAAGTTTTACATTTGATACTTTAAGTGGGATGCAGATGACTTTTTATTTCATTTTTTGTTTTGTTTTTATTACATTGGACCATATATTTGTTTCTTCTCAAGTGGTATTCTCTTGTTTGTTGGGAAAAAAATGAAATGGTTTTGATTGAATTCAATCATCATGTACGTATAAGAATCATATATATATTGATAACAGATAAGAGAAAAGAAAGATGAGTGAAACAGCACTTGACTCAAAACTTGACGCGGTATTTTTTATTCTAAACATTCTATTACGCGATTTTTTTCTTCTTCTACGTCTTGCTTGTTCTATATTTTTAATTAACTAAATGGTATCAGAAGAATATTATGAAGATTTCACATCAAAGGCATGTAAACTACAAGAAAAACATATACGAGTAATAATGAAAATACTAATATCATTTGAGTGAGAAAAGATTTGGGCGAGAGGACTTAGAAACGGATCATTTTTTTTCCAATGATAATCGCTTACTTGAAATTAGATTGTTCATTTTTTGCTTATATTTATTATCTATTCGTGTTTGTGTCATCAATTTGATTAAATAAATGGTGTGAAATTGAATGCTCTCAGAATATTGATCGCTTTATATCACTTAACTGTCTACATCTACCGATCGTTGTGTGGCATCATATATGACAGTCCAATTATCACGAACATTAGATTATTATCAATATTATAACGGGATGTCTAATATATTCACATCGACACACTTTTCCTCCCTATATATTTATCTGTTTTAAGAGTCTGCAGAGACATCGATGTAGTAAAAAGTATCATAGTTGTTGTATACACAACTCTCAGTTAATTATGAACATCTTGCTATTGATCTATCCTACTATGTCCAATTGTTACAATTATGTAAAAAGCGAAAACAATTTAAAAATCAAATTTTTATACTTTTCTTCAACTTGATTTCTTCCTAACATTGATGTGTGATTATAACTGTTAGCAAATAAACTTATTTAGAATCAAACTGTGTGTGTATCGTCATTTTATTAAATATGAAACTAACGTCTATCAAGTAGTTCGTATAAAATGGATTGTATAAACAATATATCATTGAGAAAAAACAGTCATGTTTAAATGTTCTTCTTAATTTAAAAGTAGTAAATTATAGTTATCATTCTGGCATTTTAGTAAGTTAATGCCCTTTTGAAACGGAAAATTCAGTTCTAAATCGTGGACGGGATAGAAATGCTAAAAGTCAGTTCCACCCTAGCAAAATAAAATCACAAACCATCGTCACAAAAAAATGAGCGTTTTCAATCGAGCTAGAAAAGCGTCACGCTCAAATAGCATTCATCGTTTTCTTGTGCACTTACCAAAACAGCGCACTGTTTTAGAATATTTACAAACTTTTCTTATTCCTCTCAAACATCACAAGATTTCCGTGAAACATAGCCAAATACTACAGAACCCGCAAAGAACCTTCTGAAATCCATAGCGCTTCTAGAAAATGCTGAATTATAATTAGAATGAGAGATAGAACGGGAGGAGAGGAATGAAATTCCGAAAACCGCCAATTTCTCTGTGAAACTCGCTTCTAAACCTCAAATTTCACTGGCTCTTCCTGCTGAAGATCGTATGGAACATTTTATCATAAAAGCTTGTACCTCATTATTTTCCAAACTTTATTAAAGCTACTACTTGATCTCCCAGGCAAATTCAGTATTCATCATGCTTGTGTTGAAAAGACTGCGATTATTTCTTTTAATTACAATTAAAATACTACGATTTATAATAAATTATCCGATTTATGACCAAGTGCTCGTTGACTAGCTGACGCTTAAGCATCATCATCTGCTGCTTTAACCAGCAGATACTAAACGTGCTATCACAAAGAATTGATGATTATCCTTTGTTTGTTGATGAGTGAGGACAAAATAATCTATATTCAATTGTTCAATTGTCTTACTACATTATATTGTGCCGTAAAAACTTATGAAACTCACTTTCCGTCCGATTTGTTCAATGAATAGAAAAAGTTCGCTTTTTTGTGTGAAACAATTGCGAAAGAAAAAAGTAACTCTTAACGGAGCACTAGATAACATGGGCCACTTTTGCATCTCAGTTATTTGCGACTTACAATGGTCTAAAACTTTAATTCTAGGCTTAAATGATGCAGCAATTTGCAGGGGCGTAGCTAGCATCTCAGAGCAGGGGGTGGTCCTGCCCCAAAATTTTTTGTTCTTTCAACCAAAAAACTTCTCCATGCTATAAGACGTATCAAAAAATTTTATGCGACGATAGTAAAAACAAACTTTTCTAAAACCAGGGGGGGGGGGGGGGGGGGGGGGGGGGGGGGGGGGGGGGGGGGGGGGGGGGGGGGGGGGGGGGGGGGGGGGGGGGGGGGGGGGGGGGGGGGGGGGGGGGGGGGGGGGGGGGGGGGGGGGGGGGGG